TGCGTACGTATGTGTGGGGCGGAGCTATCAAAATAGGGGCGAGACCATTTTGGGGTAGGGGCGTGTTTGTTTTGGTGATTTCAAATGTCAACTTTGGTTACCAGAAATCGCTTACCCCACCTTTAAATAAAAATGTCAGTCTTTATTTTTCTTATTTTTAGGAAACAAATCAAAGAAAAAATAAACAAATTCTACTGTTCCTAATATTCTGTATGTTGCTCAAAAACAAAATATATTGTGTTCAGCGGAAAAAAAGTATTTTTTTTACCCAGTCATTTAAAAATAACACATTTTAGAGCTGTAACGACAATACCGTGAAACAGTGATATTTTTGCTTAAGGTTATCATACCGTCAAAATCTCATACCGGCCCATGCCTAGATGAAATGTGAGCCCATAGGCATAAAGGTGGTTGTTGTAATTGTCTGTCCTAAGTGCTAAATTTGTCTGGAATGATCTCACAGGTACTGCGTGCCTCCCGAACATGGAAAAAGACTGGAGCGGTTAGCCAAAGGTAAACAGCCTTTTATGTCCTCAATTCTGTGCAAGAAAATATTTTTCTCGATTTACATTTGCTCATATTTATTGCTTCCTATTGTCTTCCTAAGGCTTTTTCCCTGGAAGTTCACAAAACTGTGAAGCATTTCTTAGGCACAAGATGACTCTTATTTCTCCCTCAATTCTAAAGAAGTATGGCATTCCTTTTGAAAAGGTATGTTGTTGTGAGTGCATTTGATGACTTGATTTTTATTATTAGTACCCCATTTTAGGCCCGTTTCACACTAGACACGCAAGCAGAGTGTAATCAGACACAGACACCGTGAAAACACAGCTTGTTATATGTGTAGTATGTGTGGGACAGTGGGAGGGGAACACGGTCGCATCATAGCAGAGTATGCTGCCCAGCATAAATCAAAGCATGTGACATACAGTTGTCAGAAGAGAACACCTAAAAAAGGTGACACAATGGACAATACCTATCTGTATTTGCAGTACACAAGCCTAGGTTCACCTGCGCGTGACGGACGCTGCCAGTGTGAAAGCACAACAGGCCTGCGCTGCTTCCACTCTGCTTATGCATCAAGTATGAAGCCAGACGTAGGCTTCCTGTTTCCTCAATGTACTGTACATTTGTTTGTAACTCTATTTGAGGAGGTTTTGTGAAGTCATTGTCCGTTTTTGTTTTGCAGATCACTCAGGAGGCTGGAGAGTTCATGATAACGTTTCCATATGGCTATCATGCAGGGTTTAACCATGGTTTCAACTGTGCTGAATCTACCAACTTTGCCACAAGACGATGGGTTGACTATGGAAAGCAAGCCATACTGGTAAAAATGAATAAATAAATAACCATTCAAAAGTTTAGGGTCGGTTTTATATCACAGGAGTAAATAAACTTTGAAAATGCATTAAAATAGAAAACATTTATTCTAAATTTTAATAATATTTCAGAGTATTACCGTTTTTATTGTGTTTTTTGATCAATTAAATGCATCCTTGGTGAGCATGAAAGACTCCAAAATATTATATATAATATGATCAAATGATTCCTGTGATGGCAAAGTTGAATTTTCAGCAGCCATTACTCCAGTCTTCAGTGTCACATGATCCTTCATTCTAGTATGCTGATTTGGTGCTCAAGAAACTTTTCTTCTTATTATAAATGTTCAAAACAGTTGTCCTGCTGAGTATTCTTGTTGACATTTTTATTTAGATTCTTTGATGAATAGGAAGTTTAAAAACAGCATTTGAAATGGAAGTCTTTTGAAACATTATTAATGTCTTTACTGGCAACTTTGATCAATAAAATGTGTCCATGCTGAATTAAAGTATTAAATTCTTTAAAAAAGCTTTTGAATGGTAGTGTATATATAAACAGTTGTAATCTGTATCATCTTTGTCAGTGGCATTTATTGTGTACTTAAATGCCTGTACACACTACACAGTGCATCAATCTTGGTATATTTTCCCCTTAGTGTTCTTGTAGAAAAGACATGGTGAAGATCTCCATGGATGTGTTTGTAAGGAAATTTCAGCCTGAACGGTACGAGCTGTGGTTGTCGGGGAAGGACAATGCTCCCATTGACCACTCCAAGCCTATGCCCGAAGCAGCTGAGTTTTTAGGTGGAGAGGCTGGGCAGAGTGGTGCTCAGGAACTCTGCAACGTGAACCAAAGTAGTGAGGGACAAAAAAAGAGGTGAAAAACAATCACTGATCTTCTCATTTGCACATACTGAGATGTGAAAAGAATCCTGTTGTATCAGTTTTAAATGTTGCCTTTTCTAATTAAATTAGCTTGGCCAAACAAAGGATAGGAACCAAAAGACACAGGGTGTGTCTGGATTTACCAGAGGAAGTTCTTCCAAAGAGTGAAACAAATGATGAGGAGGTTGAATATGGCAAGAAGAGCCGCTTGACTACATACACAGAACAATGCAGAGAGTATCCAGGTGTGTTATGTTGTAATGGCCTAAATTATAAAAAAAAAGATTTCTATCAAAGAAATAATTTTAAGGGGTTTGCACTTTGCAGTGACAAAGTCACCATAAGTTGCCCGAAGCAGCTGAGTTTTTAGGTGGAGAGGCTGGGCAGAGTGGTGCTCAGGAACTCTGCAACGTGAACCAAAGTAGTGAGGGACAAAAAAAGAGGTGAAAAACAATCACTGATCTTCTCATTTGCACATACTGAGATGTGAAAAGAATCCTGTTGTATCAGTTTTAAATGTTGCCTTTTCTAATTAAATTAGCTTGGCCAAACAAAGGATAGGAACCAAAAGACACAGGGTGTGTCTGGACCAACCAGAGGAAGTTCTTCCAAAGAGTGAAACAAATGATGAGGAGGTTGAATATGGCAAGAAGAGCCGCTTGACTACATACACAGAACAATGCAGAGAGTATCCAGGTGTGTCATGTTGTAATGGCCTAAATTAAAAAAAAAAAAAAGGTTTTTGTAGTCTTTACCTTTAATTGTTATTTCAAAGAAATAATTGTACTGATTTTCAGAATTGACAAACTAAGGCAACTTTAAGTGATAGTGACCACTGGAACACCTTCAAAAATTGTGTTATTAATATGTGTATATACAGTGTATACAGTGTGTGTGTATATATATATATATATATATATATATATATATATATATATATGAAATTTGATGAAA